TGCCTCCGTAAAACCTTGAAACTTACCCAACGAGAAATCCTGAGAGGGAAAATTGTTAAGCCAATGATGGCTGGAGCTTGAATAGGACTGTCGAACAGTGGGAATCTTCCCGGAAATCTGGTTAAATGATCCTAGCACTTACTATAAAGCGCTTCGTCCGGAAAAATAAGACATGGAATCGAAAGCTATCGTCTATCGAAAGGTCATTTTCCTACTGTCCAAGCAAAGCAAGATTGGAAAGCAAATTGTAAGAAATTACGGATTTTTTTTTGGGGTGCGGCGATTTTAGGACGCCCGGTGATTTCAAAGAAAAAAAAGCAGCTAAGAAGCTTCAAAATCGCCTTCAACGCTTTCGCCCCGACTCTCAAAAACATTAACAATTGAAAGAAAACCGCAAGAATTCTGTTCCGTGGAAATTTGATAGTTTGGAGCTGCATGGGTTCCTCGGGCAAACCTCCACTGATTCTTATTGACAAAGGCACGAAAATCAATGCCAAGGTCTATCAAGAAGAGATCGTCAAGAAAGCTGTGGTGCCCTAAAGTCAAAACCAGAACAATTTTATTTTTCTTCAGGAATTGGCTCCATGCCATGGGCCAACGCAACAACGATTCACTTGTTCGAGACCAGAATCGACTTATTTTTGACGATGGCTTTGTGCGTGCTAACGGCGATTTCCAATTCTCGTAACAGTATAGGAGCGGCAGCAATCCCACTTACATACATTTCTGCTCAAGAAATACGACGTGCCCACCCTACTTATATGGTACCTTTATATCCACTGAACCCCTCTGCTCGTGCCCTTATTGGAGAGCTGCTATTGAATCGAACTGCAAAAAGGCAGGTGATTCGGAGGAGAACTGTCCAAAATGTTAAATAAATCAGGTTGTTCACCTCCGCCGTACCATCGACTCAATGAAGACGCGAACTGGAGCCTGTATCAACACTGATGGTGCCCTTCAGAACTATTTACTATTATAAAATGTTTCGCTACGCTGTTTTCTGAAATTAATTCGTTTGAAATTTTTTAAGGACAAAAAAAAACAAGTTTGAACTTCTTTCCTATATATCGCATGTGATTTTTCGCCACTCTACATATAGTAATTCGTAAACTATGTCACAGTTGCAGAGGTGATTGTTCATATGACTGCTCAACCAGACAATACGATTCAAATCACCTCTCAAGTTCTTGTTACTGAAAAGCCCGATAGTTGCGTAGAAATGAGGTTTTGAATACCAGTTCCAGCTCCCGTTACACTGCTCAACAATTTCGCCTTCCATTTTCTCCCATTTTGATTGGACATTTATGTAGAAGTTTCACCAGCAAAATAGAGCATGATCGGCAAGTATTTCATACCGGAGGCGGACAGTCATCTCACAGAAAAGAGATCAGCTTCGATTCAACAAAACGCGCTCCAATCGAAATAGGCATTGGCGGGAGATTTAAGAGATACGAATTTATGCGGGAAATCGGCGCTTTTGTTTCGCATCTCGGTGTTCGAAGGTCGTCTACAGCGTTGGCTTTCGTTTTTTGGCTTTTTTGGTCTACCTTTACTTCAAAGACGTTCTTCATTAGTTTCCCAATCAATTATCTTGCAGACATGGCGAGCAACTTTGTGATGGATAGGACTAACGAAGCAAGGAATCGTGAACTAATTCAACAATATCTGAACATCCTGGATGATTCGGTAATTACATTTGTTTTTGTTCAGAATCGAACAATTATTAGTTTCTTTACTGCCTCTGAAAAGTGCGTTAGAACGCAGTAGGAGAAACACGGCTTCACTGGCGCGCAAAATATCAAGCGGAAAAGGCAATATTCAAAAATAGATGATGAATCTGTTCCAGTAAGACGGAGGGAGGGGGGGGGGCATCATGATGCAGCTTCTCAGCGAACTAGTGTGAACTCGAATATTCCAGCTTTTCACGCATGTCAAGTGACTGCCCTCACTCCCCACTCCCCTAGACTGCCTACACTCCCCCTGGCTCGGAGTTACCCTAGCTCTTTGAGACTGCATCTGATGCCTCTGGACTGAATAGCGCCCGAGATGATTTCTACAAAATCCTTTCTTACAACATCCCTCCCTCATCTTACTCTTATAGGAAGTTAAGCCCGAGCCAGCGAGTTTCGCGCGCAAGTTGGGAAAAAAAAAAAAAAAAAAAAAAGAAAAAAAAAAAAAAAAAAAAAAAAAAAAAAAAAAAAAAAAAAAAAAAAAAAAAAAAAAAAAAAAAAAAAAAAAAAAAAAAAAAAAAAAAAAAAAAAAAAAAAAAAAAAAAAAAAAAAAAAAAAAAAAAAAAAAAAAAAAAAAAAAAAAAAAAAAAAAAAAAAAAAAAAAAAGAAAAAAAAAAAAAAAAAAAAAAAAAAAAAAAAAAAAAAAAAAAAAAAAAAAAAAAAAAAAAAAAAAAAAAAAAAAAAAAAAAAAAAAAAAAAAAAAAAAAAAAAAAAAAAAAAAAAAAAAAAAAAAAAAAAAAAAAAAAAAAAAAAAAAAAAAAAAAAAAAAAAAAAAAAAAAAAAAAAAAAAAAAAAAAAAAAAAAAAAAAAAAAAAAAAAAAAAAAAAAAAAAAAAAAAAAAAAAAAAAAAAAAAAAAAAAAAAAAAAAAAAAAAAAAAAAAAAAAAAAAAAAAAAAAAAAAAAAAAAAAAAAAAAAAAAAAAAAAAAAAAAAAAAAAAAAAAAAAAAAAAAAAAAAAAAAAAAAAAAAAAAAAAAAAAAAAAAAAAAAAAAAAAAAAAAAAAAAAAAAAAAAAAAAAAAAAAAAAAAAAAAAAAAAAAAAAAAAAAAAAAAAAAAAAAAAAGAAAAAAAAAAAAAAAAAAAAAAAAAAAAAAAAAAAAAAAAAAAAAAAAAAAAAAAAAAAAAAAAAAAAAAAAAAAAAAAAAAAAAAAAAAAAAAAAAAAAAAAAAAAAAAAAAAAAAAAAAAAAAAAAAAAAAAAAAAAAAAAAAAAAAAAAAAAAAAAAAAAAAAAAAAAAAAAAAAAAAAAAAAAAAAAAAAAAAAAAAAAAAAAAAAAAAAAAAAAAAAAAAAAAAAAAAAAAAAAAGAAAAAAAAAAAAAAAAAAAAAAAAAAAAAAAAAAAAAAAAAAAAAAAAAAAAAAAAAAAAAAAAAAAAAAAAAAAAAAAAAAAAAAAAAAAAAAAAAAAAAAAAAAAAAAAAAAAAAAAAAGAAAAAAAAAAAAAAAAAAAAAAAAAAAAAAAAAAAAAAAAAAAAAAAAAAAAAAAAAAAAAAAAAAAAAAAAAAAAAAAAAAAAAAAAAAAAAAAAAAAAAAAAAAAAAAAAAAAAAAAAAAAAAAAAAAAAAAAAAAAAAAAAAAAAAAAAAAAAAAAAAAAAAAAAAAAAAAAAAAAAAAAAAAAAAAAAAAAAAAAAAAAAAAAAAAAAAAAAAAAAAAAAAAAAAAAAAAAAAAAAAAAAAAAAAAAAAAAAAAAAAAAAAAAAAAAAAAGAAAAAAAAAAAAAAAAAAAAAAAAAAAAAAAAAAAAAAAAAAAAAAAAAAAAAAAAAAAAAAAAAAAAAAAAAAAAAAAAAAAAAAAAAAAAAAAAAAAAAAAAAAAAAAAAAAAAAAAAAAAAAAAAAAAAAAAAAAAAAAAAAAAAAAAAAAAAAAAAAAAAAAAAAGAAAAAAAAAAAAAAAAAAAAAAAAAAAAAAAAAAAAAAAAAAAAAAAAAAAAAAAAAAAAAAAAAAAAAAAAAAAAAAAAAAAAAAAAAAAAAAAAAAAAAAAAAAAAAAAAAAAAAAAAAAAAAAAAAAAAAAAAAAAAAAAAAAAAAAAAAAAAAAAAAAAAAAAAAAAAAAAAAAAAAAAAAAAAAAAAAAAAAAAAAAAAAAAAAAAAAAAAAAAAAAAAAAAAAAAAAAAAAAAAAAAAAAAAAAAAAAAAAAAAAAAAAAAAAAAAAAAAAAAAAAAAAAAAAAAAAAAAAAAAAAAAAAAAAAAAAAAAAAAAAAAAAAAAAAAAAAAAAAAAAAAAAAAAAAAAAAAAAAAAAAAAAAAAAAAAAAAAAAAAAAAAAAAAAAAAAAAAAAAAAAAAAAAAAAAAAAAAAAAAAAAAAAAAAAAAAAAAAAAAAAAAAAAAAAAAAAAAAAAAAAAAAAAAAAAAAAAAAAAAAAAAAAAAAAAAAAAAAAAAAAAAAAAAAAAAAAAAAAAAAAAAAAAAAAAAAAAAAAAAAAAAAAAAAAAAAAAAAAAAAAAAAAAAAAAAAAAAAAAAAAAAAAAAAAAAAAAAAAAAAAAAAAAAAAAAAAAAAAAAAAAAAAAAAAAAAAAAAAAAAAAAAAAAAAAAAAAAAAAAAAAAAAAAAAAAAAAAAAAAAAAAAAAAAAAAAAAAAAAAAAAAAAAAAAAAAAAAAAAAAAAAAAAAAAAAAAAAAAAAAAAAAAAAAAAAAAAAAAAAAAAAAAAAAAAAAAAAAAAAAAAAAAAAAAAAAAAAAAAAAAAAAAAAAAAAAAAAAAAAAAAAAAAAAAAAAAAAAAAAAAAAAAAAAAAAAAAAAAAAAAAAAAAAAAAAAAAAAAAAAAAAAAAAAAAAAAAAAAAAAAAAAAAAAAAAAAAAAAAAAAAAAGAAAAAAAAAAAAAAAAAAAAAAAAAAAAAAAAAAAAAAAAAAAAAAAAAAAAAAAAAAAAAAAAAAAAAAAAAAAAAAAAAAAAAAAAAAAAAAAAAAAAAAAAAAAAAAAAAAAAAAAAAAAAAAAAAAAAAAAAAAAAAAAAAAAAAAAAAAAAAAAAAAAAAAAAAAAAAAAAAAAAAAAAAAAAAAAAAAAAAAAAAAAAAAAAAAAAAAAAAAAAAAAAAAAAAAAAAAAAAAAAAAAAAAAAAAAAAAAAAAAAAAAAAAAAAAAAAAAGAAAAAAAAAAAAAAAAAAAAAAAAAAAAAAAAAAAAAAAAAAAAAAAAAAAAAAAAAAAAAAAAAAAAAAAAAGAAAAAAAAAAAAAAAAAAAAAAAAAAAAAAAAAAAAAAAAAAAAAAAAAAAAAAAAAAAAAAAAAAAAAAAAAAAAAAAAAAAAAAAAAAAAAAAAAAAAAAAAAAAAAAAAAAAAAAAAAAAAAAAAAAAAAAAAAAAAAAAAAAAAAAAAAAAAAAAGATTTTTTTTTCTGAGTCTCCTTTCTATCAAACGAGAGATCGTAGATTAGTGAAGGTTCTCAGCAGGAAGGGGCATGTGGTGCGACAGCTCGATTCGGCCTGATGGCAGCCGAATTATCGCAGAAGGAAGGCTCCGGGTGGGTGGTGAAGCGGAAGCGGAGCAGTTCACGTTTCCCGGAGATTTCCTCCCTCTGCAAAACTTGCAAATTCTGTAGGCTTGACGTGCGCTCCTTTACTGGATAGATTCCTCTCTAAGAATTCTGAGCAACTGGGAATGCGTCCAAAGGTTTTTGAATTAAGATATGTCCGTTTCAGAGATTTTAGAAAAGGACATTGCTTTTTGAGTTGGACTTCTGACTTTCGGAGTATACTTTTGATTTATGCGCCTAAACTTTATCTAAGCACAAAGAAGTACAATCTCTTCTTTTGTGAGCAGACTAATATTTTACGGTGAAACCTGTTCGAAAAAGGAAAACATGTTCTGGGAAAAGGTAACATATGGAGCAATTTTCTTTACACTGCAATTTTGACTGACGATGTTCACTAACGCAGGAGTTTCGGAGGTTCTCAGAATATAGCCCTACAGAATAAGCAAGCCCGCGATAACGCATTTACGGAATCTAGCATTCTGCAGCGAGTATCCGTGATGTAGTATCTGCGATGTCGTTGTGAGTGTGGAGGGTTGTCAGTGGGAATTTATAGTAGATAAAATGGAAATGGCAAAGAAGTTGTGTCTACAACATGAAGAACGTTTTCGGTCACTTCAGACGGAGAGCAAGGTCTATGTGCAAAAAGTCGAGGACATGATCAACAGCGACTGCCCGCGATTGGTAGTTAACCTGAATGACATCCGGAAAAAATCTACTGAAAGAGCTTTCGGGTAGGTTTTCCATGTTGTAATACCTTGATCTTTTCCATTGGCCCCACGTTTTTAGGTTAATTCATAACTTCGTGGAAGAGATCATCTGCTTGGAGCAAGCAGCAAAAGAAATCGTTGGGCGAGCTAGTCCCGAATTCATCAAAAATCAGTAAGTTTCTTCGTAACTCTTGTTTAATATATTGATTTGCATTTCTTACACGAGTCTTGGTTACAGTGATGTTCAAGTTGGTTTCGAAGGAAGTTTTGGGGATCGTCACGTCAATCCCAGGTCGCTGAAATCAACATTTTTGGGCAACCTGGTTTGCTGCGAAGGAATTGTGACGAAATGTAACTTTTTGTAAGTTGTTCGACCAATTGGAAGGAAATTACATTTTATTTAGGTTCCACTGTCCGTCCCAAAGTTGTGAAAAGCGTCCATTACTGCCCGGCTACAAAGAAGACTCTGGAAAAACGCTACACAGACCTAACTTCATATGACTCATTTCCGAGCAGTAATGTTTACCCAACTGAGGCAAGCCGTCAATCATAATCTGTGCGCATTTTTTCTTCTGTTGTTTCCATTTATTTCTTTTTATTTTAGGACGAAAACAAGAATCCTTTGGAGACTGAGTTTGGTTTGAGCACCTACAAAGATCATCAATCATTCTCTGTACAGGTAATTTTTGAGTCATCATCTCGATACCGCTATATTGGACACATACCACCATACTGTTACTGACTAAAATACTTCCTCTCAGAGAACAGAGAACATTGAGTATGATTTGTGCTCACTCCATTCAACTTTTGGAAGGAACTGTGGTCAAGGAGGAGAAAAGCCTACACTTAGGGTTTTGCGTGAAGCATTAACAGTTTTCTGCAGCAAAAAATCGCATAATGACAAGCAGAATGATGCTACCTTGGCCCGTTTTCACTTGTGGCTTTTTACAGGAATTGCCGGAATGTGCACCTGCCGGCCAGCTTCCTCGCTCTGTGGACGTGATTGCAGACAACGACTTGGCTGATTTGGTTAACCCTGGCGACCGTGTTCGCGTAATCGGTCTTTATCGTGTGTTACCTAACAAACAGAATGGATTCTCAAACGGGTCCTTCAGGTAATCGTCTATCCTTGCCTCTTTTTTTGTAGAAAACAAATCTCTTCAATAGAAATTTTGCAGGTCCATTGTTATCTCTAACAATATTCAATTGCTATCTAAAGAAACAACTCTCGACTTCGATCCGGAAGATGTTAGAAATATCCGTAAGCTGAGCAGGAAGAAAGACGTAAGATTTTTCTCGCCGTTTTCGATTGCCCGTGACATTGCGAATGATTTTTTCAGGTATTTGAACTAATCGCTCGCTCTCTGGCTCGTCATTTGTGCGGCACAGAGAGGTCCCAGAAATCAATTTTGTGTCTTTTGCTCGGAGGCTGCGAAAAAATTCTTGACAATGGTAGTCGACTTCGAGGAGACATCAATGTCTTATTGATCGGAGATCCTTCCGTCGCGAAATCTCAACTTCTCAGGTACTGTTCTCTTTTAGGCTTTACATTTTAATTGTGTTGTATATTTAACTTTTAGGTATGTGCTATCAATATTCCAGTGATATTGTATCTGGACGAGGTTCTTCGGAGAGTCGGTATAGATGCTCGTTAAGTCCAGGAGGGGCGGAACGAAGATTAGAGGCGGGAGCAATGGTGTTTAGCGATAGAGGTAGTCTGTACAATGAATTTGATTAAGTGTAAGCGTTGAAGTTTGGAAGAATAGCTTTGTACTCGACTGATTTTCTATGCCCAAATCTTTAAATCGGAGTTTGTTCGCGTTTTGCGTAGAGAGGACAAAAGATGTCATACTTCGATCGTTTTCGTAGATGGTAGGACAAATTGTTGTAACATTCCAAACACGTGTTTTTCTGCAAACTGTTCACATTATAGATGACGGATATAGACCGAACTGCCATTCATGAAGTTATGGAACAAGGCCGTGTGACCATTGCAAAAGCAGGAATTCATGCAAAGTTGAATGCACGGTGCTCTGTTCTTGCTGCCGCAAATCCCGTCTATGGAAGGTTTGTACATAGTCATTCATCAAAAGTATATATTCACTTACAATGGAGCCTGTGTCTATTAATGTGTAACCGTGGTTGAGACTAAGCTTAATGATTCTTATCCCTAGTTCTTTTTCCCAAGATTGGTTGTTCTTGCGGGCGGGAATATGCTTTTTTATTATTATGTTAACTTTAGGATGAGTAGTGGCTGTATACTTTTCGAGGCTATCGATTCAATATCACCTTTCAATCATTACTTTTAGCCGTTATCAACTCCCTCTACCTCCAGACTATTTTCATTTTCTGACCATATGCATAATAAAACGCAGTACTCTGGAGTTTTGCCATTACCTCTTCTGAACAGTACGCTTCCGTTGAAAAAATGGTCAATGTCAGTCAATAAGTATGGTTCATTTCCCCAAAATGTAGCGTCCAGTAGTTATGGAATAGGGGTGTGATTCGTTAGAGCAGAAAGCAACGTTTCCGCTCTTCACAGTGCGAAACTTCTTTTGCTGCGGGAATCCCAGGTCCACCACTGATAAGCGGTGGACCTGTGGTTTTCGCAGCGAAAAAATTTCCTCGTCACGGCAAGCGGAACAGTCGCTTACTGTTCTAGCAAATTACACTCCGGAATAGGTGACATCAGTTATTGCCTGGTATTTTGTCGATATTTTCCAGGTATGACCCGTTCAAAACTCCCATGGACAACATCAATATGCAGGATTCGCTGTTATCTCGTTTCGACTTGATATTTGTGTTGCTTGATGAAGTGTGTCGATTTTTTTGAAGTATTTTTTTGAACGTGGTCATTTGAGTCGAGATTCTTTCTTTCCGAAAGAGTTCTATCCCGATTTTCTTTAGCATGATCCTGACCGCGACAAGACCGTGGCTAGCCACGTCTTGAAACTCCACTGCTATCGTGCTCCTGGAGAGGAAGACGGGACAGTACTTCCTATGGGAGCAGGTGTTGAAACGATGAGCACGTTTGATCTGCATGGTACGGAAAAGAGCGAGATGTATGAGAAGAATTCGGATTGGGTAGATGATTCGTGAGTATCCCTTTTTGACTAGAAGAATTGTAATTGTTTGCACGGCTTCAGCCTTCATGTAATTTTTTAGCGCAAAGGTGCTGTCTGTCGAGTTTGTGAGGAAATATATTCATCTGGCTCGTTCAATGAAGCCGAAGCTCACTGAGGAAGCGACTGAGTTTATTTCGGAGGTGTACGCAGAAATCAGGTCCTTTGACACTTCGAAAACGGATAGGGAAAGGGTGAGTTTCAGTGAAAGAATCACTGTTTTGATGAGATATCCATGTTCCTTCAGACTATGCCGATTACTGCTAGACAGTTGGAGACGCTGATTCGTTTGTCAACGTCAATTGCCAAGGCTCGTTTCTCCAAGACAGTCGATCGAGTAGACGCTGAGAAGGTTGGTTAAAAAAGTGTGCTTGTTCAGCAAACAAAAGTTGAAGCCTATAATCATTGCAGGCATACAATTTGCTGCACTTTGCTTGCTTCAAAGAAAAACCTAAGGCTCGAGTTGAATATGAGAACGCGAAGAAGAGAGTCGTCACTGATGGGCCAAGTGATGAAGAGCTTGAAGACGAAGAAGTGGGTCTGGTCTAAATGTTTTCACATTGTGTTACTGGCCTTTGCTGAATTGCTGGGAATCATCGAGAGAAGAACCACAGTGTAAAGACATTTTTGATGACTAACACATTCTTTTGCTGGCTACTGTGTAGCTGCAAAGATGGGTACTGCACGTGGCAAAATGGGGCAGGCACTAAACAAACAAAAACTAAGGCCCTAGAATAATGTTGTTCCGTACTTTCGGGGAATGTCTTACAAAGTCGTTGTTACGTAGTTTTCGGAAGTGATCCATAGTTTACTTATGTATGCGAAAAAACAACATACTACATACATACATTTTCTAGCATTGGTGCTACATCCAAACTGGGTATAGCTTAATACTTGCCTTTCACCGTCTTTTTGTTTCTGTAGCGTGAAAGTACATAATCAGGGAAGTGGTCAATATTTTCGAGTCCCGTTAAATGCCAATTAATGGAAAAAGCAATCGCTAAAGGCCCTAGGTTGCCATAACGTCACTCTACTTATCGACGCAACGTTTATTTGTTGTATCCTAAGATTAAAAACGATCCCAAATATCGGTTTTAAGGTTACTGAACAACCATCTTCCGCCCCATCTGCCACTCCTGGACGGGGAACTAGAAGGTTGGTGTGATTGATTCGCTCTTTTGTACGTATATGTCCATGATTGTTAACATTTCTCAGGCGCGCTCGTGACACCACCCCTCATAGCGGTGACTCATCGCCGACCGCTTCTCAGCCTGCGAAACGTCCTCGAGCCGAACCACCAAGTATCAGTGTGGACAGGTGATTCGAGTTCCATATATCGACTCAAGTCTCAACGAAGCTGAAAGGATTTGATTATGATAATCTAGATATAAGCAGTTCCGTGCATGTGTGCGAAAAGTCTTCGATGAACTGGGTGCGACTGATGATATGGTGGACCTCGATAAGGTCACCGAAGGTATGTTAGCAAAAGAATCAGTGGTGTGCGATAGGTGTGGGCGAAATTGAGCTGTGGCTTCAGGTGTGCAAACACAAGCTGGCACTCATTTGTTCTCTGATGGTGAACTGGAGGCTGGATACGAAAGAATGGCTAGTGATAATGCAATTATGATTGCTGATAACAAGATCACATTGATTTAAATGGTATTTCTCAATTTTCACTTGCCTGACTCATGGTAGTGCAAAATTCATTGATATAGCTAAATAACTTGTGCACTTTTCACGTTCGTAACATCTCTTTCCCAGTAGTTCTCATGATCTCTGACTCACTTTAACACTCGAATTCCTACAGTTGTAACACTGATATCGAGAAAATTCTGGTGATTATGAAATAAAAGAATAAAGTTATGCTTGCTTCTAGAAGGCAGTTATTTCATGTTGTCAGTTTTCAAAGAAAATATTGAGGAAGAAAAGTGTATTGTTATCACCCAAAGAATAACATTGACGATAGGTAGCGCGGTGGAGAGGGGCGTTGTCTCGCTCGTAATGTGCGCTGGTTGATAGCGATTTTTGCTCAATGGCTTGCAATGCTTTATCTATATTGTTTCGATAGATATCTTTAAGATTTGCGTAGTGGTCTCAACCTCACTCCACCGTTTACGTATGTGTTGAGCCAAAGGTCGACTCAGAAGTTTGTGGTGTGCGGTTATTGTTACGGCTTTGTGTTTTTGACATTTTGAAATACATATGCCTTGCACTTGTTGAATGTCTTACCGGCTCTCAATGCATAGTTACGGTAATGCCCTTTCCTAATGATTCACACATTGCTCTGATGGTTTAATGAGATAGCAGCGATCTTTGAAGTGAAAATGGCACGACTTATGGAAAGGTCACGTTAGCCTATGCAATGCATGGCATTGCCAGAGGAGCTT